ATAGTAGCTGCACGTTCAGAACACATTCTGTAAAGTTAGAAGGCTGTCATTTTTATCATTGTGATTAAGAATACTATCTATTCCCCACAAGGTGATTGATAGATTTGTGAATGCATGCGGGCTCCCCTACAGGTTGCATTGCGCCCAAGTGATTTCCCCGGCATGTTGAAAAAATACCTAATTGCTGGTAAGATCCCTAAAACATCTCGAAATGCATTGGTATCGCTATGGAAACAATTACGGACAGACACCTACAATCATGTGGAAATTTTATCTTCAAAGTTCTCTCAGAAACACTTATTACCCATTGCACAACAAATGTTTAAGATCCGTATTTACGTAATCCTCACGCTCAATGTTCAAACTTTTATTTGCACGTACCCCGTCATATCGTAATTCTCTTTTACCATATCTCACACGTCTGTTTCATTTGATAAGGTGAAAGCTTTCGCGGAATTACGTAACCCGTTATCACATTGACAAAGTCGATATCTAGTTATTTTCATTTAATTTCCCCTAGTTCTGTAATTTTGCATCTACAAATGCTGAAACTTCACCCATCTGGATGCATAAATTTACTACTGAACTGCCTGTTCTCGGTAGTCAGAAACAGGTATTTTATCTGTGGTGGTAGCATTCTACAATCAATTCAGGGTTTGCTCTACATGCAGCTGCGTGTGTTAGCGCTTTGCCGTCTCCAAAAGCATTTTAAAATATGTATCGGTATTTCTTTTTTCTATTGGTTGTATGGGCGTGATGAGGGTTATCGTATTTTTTGTACGGTGGGGTCGAATAAAAGACATTTGCCTTGTTCGTGTGCAAAGAGAATGACCAGTTTGCATAAGACGACATGTATATCACAATGCTGTGGCGACTTGCACGCAGCATTTGGTGTTGTAATCTATATACCCATGTTCTGGTCCGTTTTTTTCACCATCCTTTTAATGACTGTATTAGCTCGATGCTTGGACAGTGGTGGTGAACGGCTTTTCGAATTGAGAGACTGCTGACACATTCTTTGACGTGTGCTTTCTGTTAAATTTTGCAAGTTGATGTGTAATCCGTTTCTTTTTTCACGAAACGGCACCCCAATGGGATGGAAAGGGTCAAGCTTCGAACCCCTTACCTAGTACAGTGTGATTGCTCCATCGTTTCACGTTGAGTTGTCCCTCTCACTCGTGACCTTACACAACTAAATTCCCTCTAACCCGTTCTGCGATCTGATTGGACCATTTCCCGCGAGTTGCGACACTTGAAATCCATCAACTGTCTGATAACCGGCGTGTATGAGAACAAATTAATCAACACCACCATATCTCGCTTATTCTTTATTGATTTCTCCTAGGTCACTAGCATCTTCCGGAATAGCGATAATACGGTAGCCCTCTGACAAAAAGGAAGTATTGTTCTATCGGTGTCATAAATATTGTAGGTTCCTGATACCCGACAATAAACTGGGGCGGAAGTGGTAGAGATATTGATAATCCGTGAGATTTTTGTATTGATCCAAGCCTCAGACAAAACGCCAGCTCAGGAGGTTCTTGTCACAGTATCAAGACATCAGTCTGGACCAATCAAAAGCTGAACGATTCAAACAAAAATCAACTGGATAAAAGAATGCCAATGACAGTTGGTCCACATCTGTTTAGCCAATGGCATTTCAATTTACATATTATTTAATCCCATTGAGATCGTTCGATAAAAGAACTGCTACTTCAGAGACCTTTTTCCTACTTCTCTGTCGGTAGATTTCGGCAGACAACCACTATATTGGAATTCCGTGATTTGTGCCAATCTCAATCACTACAGTTTTCTAACAAAACCACATGGCACTTCAAGTTCTTACAATACGAATTAACTAAGCTCTGAAAATCTCTTGAGAAATTGTTCCCATTCCTATGTGTTAATCATGCACGCGCTCACTGATGTGAATTCGTGACGCTTTTTGACTCTCTTCGTTGGTCTGTATAGCATGCAGTCGAAAACGTCAGTACCCTCAGTCTTTGATTCGTGTTCATTTCAAGGTCACGCCTGAGCGTACCAAGCGAGCTTATCGATTTCAGCGTTCAATTTTTCCCTCTCACCAGCTGTCTTATAATGCCGGTGGATTTTGTCAGTCATTCCCCGTAGAGAACAAGACCACATACACATACACACGCACCATCTACACAGACCGTGAACTTAAGGTCTTTGATTTCTGATTGGTTATTTGATTGACCCAACTCTGGTTTTCACGCCATCCGCTGGCTTGTAGTGTGTGCATACTAATAGGCCCATGACCAATTTTAATGCCCTGCTTCAACTTAGTAGTTGACATTCTGGCAAGCTCGTGTTGTGTTGGACCGCATCCATATTACAATCGTCTGATCTGTAACCTTCTTAGGAGCATCACGAAGGAGTTTTTTGTATGGGTAGAGAACATTCATTAAATTGCTCATTTATTCTTGCATCTATACCTGTATCGATCGGCCTAAAGCGCGCAACGACTGGGGAATTCATCTAGCAATTTTGTAAATACTATTGCCTAGCTCTTTGTTTACTTCCTCCTGACCCGGTCCCCATAGTATTGATTCGTTCGTCTGTTTCGACAAACAGTAGGTCTGTGAGTTTCCCTACGATGCTTGATTGCCGTTTCCTTGCCGTGTATGACGTGAAAAATTGTTTAATATGTAATATATAATACATAATAATCGGATATGATTTAACTTGCATGCTGGACTCAAGCAACTCACATGGCGAATTACGGAGTGTACTATAACGGCAGCACACAAAATTGGGTTAGTAGCAATCCACACCCATTGGAACACATCTGTTCTTTTTTTTTGGGGGGGGGAGGAGGTTGGAGGGGAATCTATTCAAAATAGCTATAATTAAAATTGGGTTGATCTTCCGCTAGGGTAATGTGTTGATAGCAACATATCACATCTGATCGATGAATTCCAGAAAATGAGATTGAAGTTAGTGACATCTCTCGCACCGTGGTACCACATCATCAAACGGTCTCGAGTGTTGGTCATTTTGGTCTTGGGATTTTTAACACACCACCTTATGACTTGGTTGATACAGGTTATGAAATCGGTAGCACTTAGATGCCGGAAGTTTTTTGTTTAATTTGCAAGAACATATTGTGTAGTGAAATCACATTAACAAAGTTTCGGTGTGGATGTGTGGAATTCGCACATCAGTATTCGGAATAGCACCTGTTAGTGACTATCAGAGTCTGCAACTGTGCGACTCGAGAAAAGGATCACAAAAATGGTTCATATAGAGGCATAAAATAGGATAATTCAGTGCACACAACCGTTGGCGGCGTCCAAGCTCGGATTCGAATCTCACCGAGGCTACTGAACTTTTCACAATCTCAACAGCCAAGCGGTTTTATAAGTATTTGAGCTGCAATTATGTTGATTTAAAGATGTTCAGTCAGACAAAAAGGGAAAATTATCACATTCAAAGTGAATAAACTTCATCGACAGGAAAAAATACAAGATTGAATATTTGTGTGAAACCCGATCACGTGAAACTACCTCAACAGATAGTGAAGTTTATCATCTGCTGTTGCAGTTTCTTTTACGCGCGGTCGCCAGACTATTGCATTGTTTCGACAACCTGTCAGTTTGGTCTGATTGTTCAGAAGTAGTAGTAGTACATCGATGTGACACTGGATCGATCTGATATGCTGGTACCTATCTTCTAAAGAATGAATGTTTGGCAGCGATCAGTGAAGTTTGTGTCACAGTATTTCACTGTACGATGATGATGATCAGGAATAACCTGATACCTCCGGGGAGGAAATTAATAATAACTTCTTGTGAGCCAACTGGAATTGCGCGGCACAATAGGAAAGTTCTTAATTTCAAACGTGCTCTTCTAATTTATTTGCAATTGGACCAGGATGTTATCTGATAGAAAAAAGATGAGTAATTATGAGTTTGCGTAGTTGATGGCTAGATGGTCATATAGTCAATCTCCTGCAATTCGAAAAAGTGGATAAATTCCAGGAACTGCAAAATAGCAAGGTAAACAGTAGTAGATGCTAATAAGTAGTATAAAAATCGGTTGAAAGTTTTGTGACAAAATAAACCGGATCAATGAAAAGTAGTTTAATCCCATTAGTTGTTATCAATATTTATAATTATAAACTGTTTATTTATAACGGAATTTAGATCTATCGTCTTGCGTATCCTGTATGTATCAAAGAAATTTAAATCTTCTATGACGCCCTCAGATTAATATCGGTACATTGCATGCAGTATTCAACCTTTTTTCAGTTCTATTTGTCTAGTTATCCCGAAATTACCTTCCTTCCTTCAGGGGAATTTTTTCTGACCCAATTATTCCATATTGTTTCCAGATATCCCTCCATTCCATTGCAACGTTAGGCTAACCACATAATTGATTATATGACGTCCATCATAATATACAATTGTTTTAGCTATAATAATTACATGATTAATAACCTAATCAAGGAAAATAGAGGTTCAAATACAGCGAGAAGGAAATGACATCTAGAATGAGTGAAATATCTGTCACGGGGTATACTCAGAACATTGGCCTTCTTCCCATTTTGACACTGATTGTTCGTTGTGCAATCTATTCATGATTTTCTATTGAAATATTTGTATCATTAGCGTCTGTAGACATTTATTCATTCGTTCGCTTCTGTTGTTACCAGTGTCTGTCCAAAGTGATTGATGCATTCATCATGACCGTTGTTAGTCGGACTAAGTTCAGCTAGTGATATCTTAACGTGATTCATTAAGCATGACTTTTTTAACTTAAGATGTCCGAGTATCCATCGGACATGTCATGTTGCTATGTGCATAGTTCGATTACTCCATCGTTTCACATTGTCTTGTTCTTTTTGAGATAATCTTGTTGCCATGTCCAGTCCCTCCGTGCGATGAAGGCACGCCTGCTGTACAGCCGAAGTTCACTGAGTCTGCTAAAGACTCGCGGTTGTAGATAAGGTGGGGTTTCTCGCTCGGGTTGGATGAGCAAGCGCCAGGTCTGTTGTTGCTGTGACCTATCCGACCGATCGATAAACGAACCCGATCGGTCATGTGATTTTCGGACCGGCATAGGAGGAAGAAGTTCTGAATCGAATGCTGCTTGACTTGGTAGAGAATAACCACAGGAGATTCGGTTGTGAAACGATGCGCCATGTGGGAGATTCAGAATGAAAAATTCAAGCGATGAGGACACTGGGCCGACGTTTGACTCGTCTGGGCTACGCGCACTATCTTTAAGCGGGATCTATAGAACAAATTTTCCGGTAGGCGTGAGACGGGGGTTTACTTGGAAGAAATTCACTCCTGTTCAGCCAACCGAAGGCCATAGACGCCAACCCACAGAAATGACGGCAACGTTTCATAAACTAAAAGTGCACCTCACAAACTGTCCTTAGACCCGGGTTACAATGACCTGTGGCAAGTGACCTATCGGTGCTCTAGGACAAGTGAGAGTATCGTTCATTCATTCACACGGGCGCGTCCGCGTCCGTGTTTATCGATCGATCTCATTCCACTCACCCGCTTCCCAGGCAATCGCGATCATCGTTCACCCGTTTGCACGTTAGTGCTACAGAGCCCATCGATAGACCGAATGACCGTGGCTTTGGTGACCACTGTAGCTCATTGCCCCACAGAATTGCAAAATACTGCACATTATAAAGATGCATTTTCAGAAAAGTCATAAATCGTTGTTTGTCTCCGCTTGGCTCTCCGTTGAAAATCAACAAACGAGCTGTTTAAATGAATTCTACACTCCAATAATCTACCCGAACTCCGAGCATTAGCCAAGGCAAACAGCTTCAATTGATCCAAAAACTTCTGCGCCTCTGATTGAGATAACTTCCAGCGCATTCACTGCCTCACATTCATCTTCTTTACGATGCTTAGCCTGATTCGAAACGAATTCATCTAATGAGTAAAGAAGAGACTTGATACAAAAATTTTATATAACTCACTTCTTCATCATCAAATTCCAAACAGGCGATTTCTTCTTCAAAAAGACGGTCACCAATAGACACGTAACGATTAAAGTCCTCTATCGTATTATCCTCTGGTGGCTGCATCACCGGCTGCATCAATGTGGATCTGAACCCTGCTTTCATGAAAGCGTTGATCAGTACATCTACACTGAAAATGTCACAGCATATCCTTCTATCAACTGCGGTAACCCCGCTCGAAAATCATCCACTGCATCACGTAGTACCGCTAAACTTTCCCCACAGACCTATAAAGTAAGGCACATGAGTTGCTTGTTTCTTACTTTGTGTGATTGAATACCATATCTGTCTGGCCAAGAGCGAAACCAACCTTTGGAAGCCTTGAAGTCATTGCGATGCAATCTTTGTGCAAGCTGGATCGCTTTCTTACGTACGATGCTCTCCACCATTGGGAGCTCTCCGTGCTTTTCCCTCATAGCGGTAAACCAAACCAAAGTTGCCTCATTCACTGTTTTGAACTTTTGGTTGGTTTTCAGGTGACATTTTTCCTCAGATGCTCCAGCATTCAAAATTCAGTCGTTCTATGGGATCCAACATTCGAGACAGTTTTTCGTGAAATTCAAAGTGACTTGTCTGCGGAGCTCTGAGTTGCACCTGACTGTTTCAGCATTTCCAACACATTCTGCTTCTCTCTGATCGATAGGCGCTTGCACATTTTGATGTCAAATGACACTGCCTCCGATCAGTTGCATCGCTGTGACTTCTTCGAAAGGATTATCCAATCAGTGAGCAGAGCCATGAAAGCGTCACATTAGGTGGAACGCCATTGGTTGAGTGCGACATATCAGAGTGGATGGTCAATGGTCTTCCCGAACAACGGTCAACAACCAAGTGAGTACGTATCAGGAACTGCTACATATTGGGGGGTGCGACATCACATAGTCAGAAACTACGCTATTGGGCATACGATTGATTTGGGTTTTCGAAAAAGTGGGAAGATATTGGAAAATGCGACTTCTCAGGGGTGCGACATAGCAGGAGATTGACTGTATATCGAGTTTTAAATGACTTCCACTTGACGTATGAGATGACACAGTAAAAAATGAATGGATACTTGATGGACAAAGATTTTGTCATTGCTTCAGTTTTATTTTACAGTCCCAATCGAAACTGAAGCAACAAGTCCCTGTGAAACACTTGTGGGTTCGTACGGACAACAGCATTTATATTGAAGTAATTTTTTTCCAAATAATAATAAACAGGCCCTCGTGAGTCTTTATAGCAGTGATTTTCCTGATTCGTTTATACTCAGAAGATGGAGTGGTTCAGAATGTAGCGGGTACTCCCACTTCCTCAGTAGTGGTTGACCTAGACCATGATGAGTTAGAGCTAACTAAAGAGAGCAAAACAATTTTTGTTCACAACAAATCAACACTGATAATAATTAAGATGTTAAGTTCATGAACACTAATAGTGTGTTTGTTCTTTAGGACTTTTTCGATTCTCTTCGGCATCGAATCCACCAACTTTGTTATGAAATCATTTTCTGTTTCATGGTCCATTACGTATCGCACTTTACCTCCAATGCTCAATGTACAGGTAGCACATTGACCTCTCTCTTCAAAACAGAAAACGAATTTACTATGATAGTTTAATAATTCGAAGGAGGCGGGATTTAGGTCAACTGGGTCGATGAGCACGCACCTCGACTGAGACCGCACCGGGTCGAAACGGCAGTCCAGTACTTCCTAGGTTTTCAGTTCGCGAATCGTTTGCTCTTTACTCGGCGAAACTCACCATATAGCCTACTGAAATTATCCATTACTCTCAGGGAACTTAAAGCTTTACAATCTTTCAGTGTACTATTTGTGTTTGCATCGACTTTTGCATGGGAAAATATCCGCATTTCAGTCAAAAATTACACTTCATCCCTTCGAAAGAAGGAATTGATACGAGTAAAACATTTAACCATCAAGGTTGTTGAGAAATTCAGAAGGAACGCGCTGTCAGTTTGCGAAGATCGTAGCAAGATAGGGAAGTGTGGAGCATCTGTAGATATTGATGTGATAGGGTAATAAATGATATGCAGAACACGTGGATGAATGAGGGCGGTATTCGGATGGATCGCCATGTAAGGAGTGAATGGGGTCCGAGAGGAGTTTCTGTGCAAATGTTCCACATGCGGACAAGTAAAGTTCACACAGTGTTGTGGATAGATCGTCAACGAGTATAGAATACACACGACTGATAATCGACAAACCGCGACAAGAAATTCTGAAGTCTTTTTTAAGTACAGCAAAAATCACTGATGAGCAGTAAAGAAGAATAGGAGAAAAATATTGACAAGCAAATATCGAAATTATTTTTTATTTGGTGTGAAACCGACAGCGAATCTCAAAGAACTGGCACTGAGAAATGTGCAATTTCTGTTTGACTACGCCAACAACTGATGGAGAGTCCGAGTCGCAATGGCTTCATTTTTACGATCGAATCCAGCTGATTTTTTTGTTGACAAAATTGATGACAGAAATGTAAAAATCAACCATAAGCCAATTCAAGCATGACCACCACTGTGATGCAGAAAGCATGTTTTTTGTGGCCTATGACGCAAATGACCTGTTGTTGTTGATCACGAAGTACGAATCTCGTATCAGAAATCATGGACGCCACATAAGCACTAGATCACACTGGTACTAGCAAGATAGTATCCCACGGAACCGAGACACGAGGAAAAGGAACAGTATTTGATTTAATAAAAGTCAGGGGGATTAAATAATATGTACAAAACAAGTTAATTGGTCACCCATGCCTCTGTCAATCGCCTGCTAGTATTTCTGGCGTTGTTCAGCTTCTGTCTGGGCTGCCTGACTTCTGATTGGTTGGTACAATCGACCTATGGTTTGTAGTCGGGATGCTGTGACACGTACGCGCTTTGCTGACGTCATCCGGGAAGCTTGATTGATCACAGTTGTCCGAAAACTGTAACGTGTCGTCCCGTGGTATGCGTCATCTC